AGGTTAGAAGAGAGTCTGTGGTTTCCATGGAGATGAAGCTGAAAGTGCAGGAAATTTAAAGGCTTTGGGTCCTTGCAAAGCAGACAAACTGGTGCCAACGTGCGTGGCTGCTGTTGCTGCTGAGGAGGCTGCTTTGCAAACAGCGGAGAGGAGCGGAGAGGAAGAATCGGCAGCAACTTCTTCCATACGCACGGGCAGACAACGAGGAGCAGCAAGCAGAATTTGCAACAAAAAGAGGCATCTCCCTTTCCCGGGCAGAGTGAAAAGAAACAGCAGCCGAATTTTGGAGCGGCTCCACCAGGAGAAATTTTATAGAGAAGCCTGCAAGAAGAGTATTTGCAGGGGGCTTGTTCGCCGGGCTTATTAGGGCCGTCTTTGCTGGTGGTGCGGGGAGCGGAGGGGATCCCCCTTAAAGACGAGCTATTTTGGATATTCCCGTACAAGTTTTCTGATGTATTTGCTTGCACCTTCTTCCCCTGCTGTTTGTTGAACCCAGCCCCCTTCTCCCCACCCCCCCCCCGCTCCCCCAAGGATGTATCTCTCTCAGTTCTTTGTGCTATATACGCCTTGGTGGTTCTGCTGGGTCTCCGGCTGGAGCAGGGCGCTTGCCAGCACTATCTGCACATCCGACCGGCTCCCAGCGACAACTTGCCCTTGGTGGATCTAATCGAGCACCCGGACCCTATCTTTGACCCCAAGGAGAAGGATCTTAACGAGACCTTGCTAAGAAACCTCATGGGCGGACACTTCGACCCCAACTTTATGGCTATTTCCTTGCCCGAGGACCGGCTTGGCGTGGACGATCTAGCTGAGCTGGACTTGCTCCTCAGGCAGAGACCCTCGGGAGCGATGCCCAGCGAAATCAAAGGGCTGGAGTTTTACGACGGGCTGCAGCCGGGCAAGAAGCACAGGCTGAGCAAGAAGCTGCGCAGGAAGCTACAGATGTGGCTCTGGTCCCAGACCTTCTGCCCGGTCCTATACACGTGGAATGATCTCGGCAGCCGCTTTTGGCCCCGGTACGTCAAAGTGGGCAGCTGCTACAGTAAAAGGTCTTGTTCAGTCCCCGAAGGCATGGTTTGCAAACCTGCCAAGTCCGTGCATTTAACGATCCTGAGGTGGAGGTGCCAGCGTCGGGGGGGGCAGAGGTGCACATGGATACCCATCCAGTACCCCATCATTTCGGAGTGCAAGTGCTCCTGCTAGACTTGCACTTACCTTTTCTCGCCCCTTCTCCAGCGGACTCACGTGGACCTTTGCTGCAACAAAAATAAAAGACATTTGCTTTCTGGTTAACGTTGTAATGCACTGTAACGTGTAGGAGAATGTATATTGTGTGTATATATGGCACCGTTTTAATAAACTATTAAAAGGTCAGTATTATACGTGAGATAATAAGCGTCTACTGTATTTTTAAGACTATTACCCTGATCGTTGCTAATGTATCTTTTTTTTCTGTTGTGTTTTTTTTTGTTGTTTTTTTTTAATATAATTTATATTCCAGAGAGAAGTTACTTCGCTTTGGTGAAGTAGGTTGTTTGTTTTTTTTTTTTGTTGGGAGGGTTTTGTGTGTGTTTTTTTTCATAAAAGGGTTAAAAATACAAACCAAACTTTTTGATAAGAAAACGTTTTAAAGCTGTTTTCCATTATTCGGAAAGCGCGTGTGTGGGTTTTTCTTTTTCCTTATGGACTTTAGATTTAAAATAAAGATGAATAAGCGCCTAGAGCACAATGTTATTGTAAATAGAGAGAACAGTTTGAATGACTTAATCCTATGTAAATGAAGAGTATCTGCTATTTATTCTTTATATCCTTGTAGTAAAAGTGCAGTGCAGAATTAAAGTCAACCACTAAAACACGAGCAGTTTGGAATCTGTTTGCTTTTTGGTTTGGCCACCTTCGGGGGGGCTTTCTTCTCTCCTCGTTCTCCACGCTCAGCAGGACGTTTCGCTGTGGCAGGGGGAGGGGGGAACCTGCTCACGACTCTGTTAGAAGGGAATCTCTGGCACCTACACCGCAGGAGTGCCCCGGGGATCC